CAACTTGGGCCAGTGAAGCAACGTCTTCCACAACTAGACTGAAGAACAAAAGGACAGCAACTTGTCTGTTCCACTTCCCCCAATTCCCCAGTGCTATTCCCATCCCCCAATTCCCCAAAAATCTTAAAAAAAAAATACATTTTTTATATTTTAGATTAAAACGTTTTAGTTCCTGCACGCTATCACAGCAATATATAATTATCAAGGAAATATGTTACAGAAACCTGTCTTTCTGGATATTAAAAAAAGTCTGATAATTAATGCATAATTAGGCAAAAATAAAGCAGCCTATGAAAATGGCATAGGTCGACTGTAACACAGCCGTTAGCTGGAGAAAAAGAAATGAACTCTAATCTGATCAGAGGAATCTGGGAAACACTTAATGGAAAAAGTGACATCTAAGCATAGCTTTAAAACACAGGCAGAGTAACCATAAGCAAAAAAAAAAAGCAGAGTAGAAAAGGCAGAAGAAAGTGTACATGGAGAGGAGGATGTACTCAATAACTGGGCCTGAAAGGAGGAATGAAGGGTAAGAAGAACAACTACCCAAAGCCAGACCTGGTGCTGGAGGGGGCGCTGATTTTACCACCCTAGAATATATTTGTTTGTTGGACACAATTAATAGAACTATAGAATACTGCAAATAGTTTAAATCTTTACCTTGACAAATAGTGACCCCTTCTGGCTCAAATGTCTCACTTAAAATCTTCTTGGAGGCTCTTCCCCACACCCTTAGGCTCAGTACTTTACCTGTCTCCTTTAGATCTAACATCTCCACTGGAAAAGCAGGCATTTTACACTAGTGAGTTTTATTCATGTTAATGAGGTATTCTGTTATAACAAATACTGTTTAATGTGTATATAAAAATAAAGCAGGCTTATTTTTAGTTCTCAGACTGACCTTTCAAGGTGGGTGTTTTACTCTCAATAGTTGAGGAAACCCGGGGTTTAAGGCGGATTAATACTCCTCAACGAAGACTACAAAATTACTTTGTATTTTAACAGAAGTCTGCCTGATTTAAAAACTCAATCCTTTTACTCTGGTGGCTTTTAACCAGTGGTTTACATTTCAATTACCTAAGCAATTTTAAAAATGAAATTTATTTAATTTTTAGTTAAAGAAATAAATATATAAAGAAAAACAAACTAATACTATTAGACTGGTAGTGGAAAATAGCACTCCCCCACCTTTCCTCCACCCATCCCTGATTTTCTCCAACCACTTTTAACTCTTAGCTGATTCTTACTTTTTTTCTTAATGGCCTGTTCAATGCTGATTTTGTACTGACACTTCTATACTAGATCATGAATGAATCTCCAATACACAAACCTCTCTCCTCCAGTCTCCAATGTTACATAATCATTTATTTTATCTGTACTCAGCGTTTACATACTTACGATCTTTATATAAAAAAACATTATTCACAATTGAGGTATGCAATATAGTTCTTGAATAACTTTCTTTTTCCTAGGATTCATAATTGCCTCAACTTTGTTTCCTTAATTAAAAAATCTGCAGACCACTAATTTATCTCCAGACTCTCTGAAAAACTAAAAATCTCTTGATTTTATATTCCAATACATCAGGTAGTGTTTTTCTTTTTGAGACATTCCAACTGACTCCAGATTTAGGCATGTCTTTCTTTTTTGTTTTTTTTTTTAGGATATATGTTCTCCTCTACAATTTTCCCCTTTTCACATAGTTATATGGCTATTTTAGCAACTTTATGGCTACTCTTTAGTCTTTTTTCCTCAGCAACAGACTGTATATTTCAACTTCATAAGGACACCACAACCGTTCCGTTTATCTTCCCTTCCCCTTCAAAGACCCACTTGAAAACTGTACTTCTACATTATCAAGGCTGATAACATTTGCATTCCACTTTGTAACCATAATTAAGTGCTTTCTTAAAAAAAAAGGCCATAAACAGCATTTACATTCATTATTATTATTTAAATGATATTCATTAAAAAGCCAAGCTTTGTGCTGTAACTTGATTTTCTTCTCTTTGGCTCCAAGGTACTTGAATCACTACTACTCACAGGGACACTGAAATACAGTCTTAATACTTTCTCACACTCCAATTCTCCGTTCAAAATCCTGCAGCATTTTACGTTGTTTGGATGCTTAGAAGGATGCTTTTTCTGTCCAGTCTTTTTTTTCCCCCCGCCCTCCCACTGTAGAGATCTGATTGTCACTGTTTTCTCTGGTGCTGGTGGAACGAAAAAATACATGCCTTCCCAATCATATCCTTAAGATCTTCAGCTTCTTATTCAACGTCTTGTATGCAATCCAATCCAATATTCCCGAAATTTATGATTTCTTATTTTAATTTGGACCATGAGCCTGATGTACATTAAAATTTTTTATCCTAAACATTTTAATAACTTTCCTTTGTTATAATGCAGCCTGTTTGTCCTGGTTTTGCTTTAAGGATGCACAGCTTCTTAAATACTGGTGCGCCTGAATTAAATGCTTCGCTCTTCCCGGAAAATCGCGTGTTTCCTTTTTCTAGTTACGGCAGGCGTGCCGCGCCTGCGGGGGGCGCTCGGCTACGGGCGGGGCGCGCAGCCTCGGAGGGCGCCCGGGCACTCTCGCGAGACCGCGGGAGTGCTCATTCGCAGCTCCGCTCGGCAGCCGGGGCTCGGGGTGGCGCGCCATTGTGCTGGCCCGGGAGGTCCTAAATGTGTACCTGCAAGCGGATGTTGAGGATCACCGAGCCCGCGACGTAGAAGTACGGGAAATTCATGCGCAGCTGCCACGCCAGCTCGAAGAAGGCGAGCAGGGTGCGGGAGAGCCCCTTGCAGAATACTCCGTACGAGCTGGGGGCCGCGGCCGGACTCGAAACGCCGAGGGCCGAGGAAGAGGGCGCCGCCGCGATGGCCATGGACCCGGTGTCGCCTCTCGCCCGGTGCCTGGTGCCGACGGTCATCGCAGGTCCCGCAAACATCGGACCGACGGCTAGGACTGGCAGGGGCGGGGGCACTAAGCGGCCGCTGCACTCCCTGCGGCGTCTCCGGCTGCGGCCGCTTTTCGGAGCGGGACTCGGGGCCTGGCAACCGCTGGCGCTCCGCCCCTTCCTGTCTGCTGCTCAGGATGGTAGTTAGCCTTTAGAGTTTAACACGTGGTAGGTGCAGAACGGGTTATTTATGTATATATCATATATCATAGGTATGTATCAAACATATTTCATGTGACATATATGCACAGCCATACAGATATTTTATACTTTAAAATGAAGAAAGGAAGCTTCAAAGGGAAAATATGTTAAGAATGTTAGGGAAGTTTTAAAAATCTGTTTCTATGTCCTTCCATTGAACTAGTATTCTAAAATATATCCCTGGAATAGAATCTTTCCTATATGTCTACAAATAAATATGTACATTCACAGTTAATTTACAGTGTAATTTTAAAAGTTTATAAAATGGGATGCATTTTGAATGTGCTGAATGCCACGTGTGGATGTAGACAAACTGCATTGTTCTTCAAGAATTGTCCATCAGCTCTGCTTATCACTTATTGTTATTTACAGAAAACTTTGCTCTTAAGCGAGAAAAACTTAAAAAGTAGGGTAATCCTGGGGGTGGGGGGTNTTGTATATTGGTATACCTCTATTCCTTAGCCCCATGTTTAAATGAGTTAGTTTTAAAAGTAATTTTTTTTTTTTTTTAGCTGAGCCATCCTGCCACCTGTTGGCAGCTCAGCGGCAACTCAGCTCGGGCTGGACTTGAACCGCTGTTGCTCAGAGCTCAAACCCTTGAGCGAGCTCTTAACCAACTGAGCCCTCGGCCGGACCAAAATTTTTTTTATCAATTAAAATCTAAAAGACTCTTTGAAAACATCTCTACTTGCAAATTAAACATCTTTTTGTTTCTTTACGTATTGGACACAACCTCTATTACTGTGCCGATTGATGGTTTCAGAGCTAAGACATTCTAGGTACAATATTTCATTAGTGATTTTTGCCTTTTGGTTGTGTGATGATTTTTTGCCCCTCATTTTGGTTCATATAAAAAGGTATACCCAATCTACCTCACTCAATATGTGAATGACCTCCAATCTTCTTTATTGTTCATTGATGCACTCCATAACCTTACTGTGAATAAACACACACTTGGTGCTTGAAAGCCAAAAGAATGGTCAAGAATTTTTTTTTAACTTTTATTGGGGAACAGTGTGTTTTTCAAGGACCCATCAGCTCCAAGTCAAGTTGTTGTTTTAAATCTAGTTGTGGAGGGCGCAGCTCCTTGGCCCATATGGGAATCGAACCGACAACCTTGGTGCTATGAGCCTGTGCTCTAACCACCTGAGCCAACTAACTGGCCGCCCAAGAATTTTTAACGTTTGCTGCAAATCTCCAGTTACGGCAGAAAATGGAAGGGGTACCCTCAGATGTACTACAATTAAACTACAAAGAATTCCATTGTTCCTTCTTTTTATGTGTTATAGGCACTCAGGAATCTCCTTCGGCCTTTCAGTTGTCCCAAGGGCATTGCTGAGATTTGTATTTGTGGGGGTTGGGGGCTGAGGAGGTGTTGACTCCAGCTGTAAAAAGATGCATGACCTGGCCTGGCGGTAATCCTGCTGGGCAATAGGCTATCAAGTGTTCTTGTTAAAGTTGCAAGGAAGTTCCCCCACTCATGGTAATTCAAGTAGACTGATGTGATCCAACCCAGTTGTTGGGAATTCTGTTATTGCAAGGATTCTTTCTTTGATCCACTTGTCTGGAAGCTTCTAAGTCTACCCTTCAGACTACTTTCCCGGTTTAAAGTTTCTGGCATTAGAATTTTTCTCTCCGCCTCCTTTTGTCCCTGTATTCCTCAACTTCCCACCCGAGTCCCTTTATGTCTCCATGTGTAAGTCCCATTTTCTTTTTAACTCTGTCAAATGCTATTGCTGCTCCACCAAGACAAGCCTCCATTAGAATAGGTCTGCAAGGTTTTGTAACAAAATTTAGTTAGGCCTCCTCTGGCAGTGATGGACATAGCTTCAAAATTTGTAATCACCTTATCTCTACTCCTTTCCATCCTAAGGGCAATGTCTTTTCCTATCTCCTTCCATTCCATAAATATGCCAAATGACTTTAGGCAGCAGAGAGTATAAAATACTTGATTTATCAAATCATGTTGAATATTTATATTGTAATATATAAAGCCCTCAATACATTTTTAAAAAAATATTGCCAATTATTACCCAGGTAATACTTCTGTTTGAAAATTTGAGAAAAGAAACAGAATTATTCAGAATTACCTACACATTGTAAAAAATTGAATTCCCCATCAAATGTATTTTTGGGGATAAAGTCGAGATTCAGTTGTAGTTTGGCCAGTTACTATCACCTTGGGAAAGCTACTTAACTTCTTTAAATCCCAGTTTCCTTATCTGAAAAATGATGATGAAAATGGCTTCTTCATAAGATAGACATGACAATTGTGGAGGTTATGTATATAAATAACTTTTCATAGCTCCTGGTATAAAAAATTCAGTAAAATTTAAAAAATGCTGACAGTGACACTTTTTTTACCCTCAATTAAAAAAAAGTCATTCCCCAACCCTTAAGTTATATGTTACTATGAGCAATATTTCTCTTGCATAAACTATAATAGAGCTATTCTTCCCATCATTTTTATCAGTTAAACTTCATAACCAAGTTTTTTTCTTTATTGATTAGCACCTCTTTGCTTCTTTACACTTGAGGGATCTCTGGACCAATCAGTATTCACGATGGACTGAAAAAGCTCATTTGTGGGCAAGAAAGTGGATTACCTTAATACTAGGGGCAAATATATCTCTATTTCCTTCGTTGACTAATAACTACTTGTAGAGCGAAACAACTAATTTGGCTTTCACTCAACAGTGTGTATTGTCTACCTTGCATTTAGGCAATGCTCTAAGCTGGGGATAGAGCAATGAGCAAAGAAAATTGTTGGCTTCCTGTGTTACCTGAAAGGATGCCAAGAACAACAAAATAAGTTGTAAATTAGAATAAGTGGTTTAGTCAGGGCAAAAATATTGTTTTCTTCCTTGGGAAGCTTCACTGAGTTGTATAGTGTGTGGGAAGAAAAATACACTTCTAGGTTTAAGAGCAATTATGAAGAATAAATGTTAAATCATGGAGCCTGCATTCAGTTCCTACTATGTATGTGCTGATGCTACAGGCTGTAAAATTGGATAGGATACAGTATCGTCCCTCACAGCTTACAATGTAGTAGCAGGAAATGATAAATAACAAGTCTGCTGAAGTGCCTTCGTTTCTTTATTGTTAACAAAGGACTGATCAAAAGAAAAAAGGTTGAAAGCACATGTTCATATAGCCACCCAAATGGAGCACCCCTGTTTCTCACCATTCCAGGGATAATGGCAGTCATTCTTTTATGTTACAAATTGGTACATTACTGCCTCTATGGAATAGTGATGCCCACCATTTGTAAGTTCCTTGGCATTATGGAATTATTTCATTGATCAAATTACATTTTTTAGGGCCAGCCGGGTGGTGCAGTGGTTAAGAGCTGGTTTGGGACGCCAGAGAGCCCTGGTTCGGATCCCACATGAGGGCCAGTGAC